GTTTTTAAATTATGAGGTTTTGACTTTGTGACTCTGCAAAAGGGATATACATTCCATAGAAACCATACTAAATGGTTTTTTATTGTTGTGCTGAGTGAAGGAACATGTGGCATCCACGAAAGTAATTACAATATAACATATATCATATTTCAATTCACCTCTCCATCATTCTCCTTTATCCCCCACTCCCCCATTCCTGGAATAGTTTCAACAGGTATCATTTTTCCATTTACATACATGAGTACACAGTATATGCACTGCATCACCCTCCCACGCCCTTTCCCCACTTCCTCCCCCTTCCCACTAGTAGCAACACCCCCCCCAAACAGGACCTGTTCTGCCCTCCTATCCTCCAATTTTGTAAAAAAAAGAAAAAAAAAGATGACTTTTTTTTTTTTGGTTTAAGATAGCTACACAGAGAATTTCCTTGTGACATTTCCATGTATATAACCTGAATTGGTTCATCTCCTTTATTTTTCTCTTTTCTTCCTTAGTCCTCTTCTTATGGTGATTTCTACAGGTTTTAAAATTCTATATTCATTCTTGTATAGAGAGTACATCAACTATATTCACCTTCTTGAACCCTCCCCCTCTCATGTATGACTTCCCTTTAGCATGACCTGTTTTCATAATATTGCTGTATTGTATTAGGTCTATATTCCACATATAGACCTATATGGTTTTTGACCTTCTGAATCTGGCTAACTTCACTTATGTTCTCCAGTTTCATCCATTTACCTGCAGATGACAAAATTTCATTCTTCTTTGTGGCTGAATAAAATTCCATTGTATATAAGTACCATATTTTCTTAATTAGTAGTGGGGCATCATGGTTGTTTCCATAGCTTAGCTATTGTGAATAATGCTACAATAAACATGGGTGTGCAGGTGCCTTTACTGCAACCTGACTTACATTCCTTCGAGTATATAACTAGGAGTGCTATTGCTGGATCATATAGCAGATCTATTTTTCGTTTTTTGAGGAGCCTCCATACTGTTTTCCATAGTGGTTATACTAGCTTATATTCCCACCAGCAGTGTATAAGGGTTCCTTTTTCTCCACATCCTTGCCAACATTTGTTGTTTGTGTTCTTGATGATAGACATTCTAACAGGAGGGAGGTGGAATCTTGACGTGGTTTTGATCTGCATTTCCTTTATGTCCAGGGATATTGAGCATCTCACCGAGTAACAATATGCATGCAGCACTCGTTATCAGTGCTGGGCAACTACCAGTGAGCCATATGACCACGAGGCAAACAACCCGTGCTACAATGTGCTGCATTGCCAAGCTAGATGTTCAGTAGATTAAGTGTGTTCACTGCACTTTGACTTACCATAATTTCCACTCACAAGGGGTCTTTTGGGATTCTACCCCATCATAATTTAAGAAGTATATATATATATATATATATATAGTCTCTAAAATTTCTCCAGAGTATCTTGAAGATTCTGTACTTAATGCCAGTTATTCCAAGATGTTTAACGCAAACTCACCACCTAATTTCTCTATAGCATGGTGAGTTTTTAAAATCCTAGTTTCAAAAAAGAACAGTTTAAGATTAAGTGTCTTAAGGAGCCACAGTGAGTTCTTCTATGAAGCTTATAGGAAAATTGAGCCAAAAGACATTTCAGCACAGTATTCTTTATTATAAACAATCAAATGACAGTATACTTGTGCATTTTAAGGATGATTGAAGCCAAGGCTATTAAAATCAAAAGCATTACTTCACTCAATGACAGTCTCTTTTTCATTGGTATGTTTTCTATTCATTTGAACTTATCTTTAATATATGCCAGGATTACCTAACCTTGTTGTACAGTTCAGCTGTTAAATCATAGCAAGTAAGACAATTTGGAATGCATGTTATATTTTGCTTTATTTATTGACTATATATACCAAATATTTGGAACACATTCAAAGTTAAGCAGAAGCCTGAAGTCTATTAAATGATACTTATAAAATGCTTTTGGTAGTACTGTTGTGCAGGCATCCATATTCTTAGAAGACAATTAAAAGGGGATTCTAAATCCTAAGTAGTTGGCCAGTTTTTCCTAATACATACTTAGTGGAAAAACACAAAACAAAACATGAAGTATATGTGTTAAAAATGACATCTTTTTGGTTCTGAAACACTGGCAGCTATAACCTATCACATAACTAACACAAACTTCTACGTCTCATTTTGTAACAGACAAAAAAAATACTGGTTTGGACAACATGATACATGTTCTGGGTCTTGTGAGCAGGCCAAAATGTTCCTGCCCTCTGTCACATGATCCGTGGGCATGGCAACCTGAAACATGTGCAGTGCTGATGTGTTTAAAGCCCTAGCCTGTCCACATTGCTCCTGATCCTGTAAAAGAATGTTGTTCAATTTTTTGGCTCATCTGATTCATGAAGTGAATACTAAATGACTACATTTAGAAGTCTGAAACCAAATACTACATTGTAGTTTTGAGAACTCTTAGCAGCAAAAGAAAAAAGAAATACTAAAATGTGACTGTGTTACGACCAGAGGGTTTTCTTCTTGTCAGTTCTACGTTCTCTGAATTTCATAGGCAGGCGTTCTAAAAAAGGTTTCTGTGAGACAGAACTGGTGCCCTGTGTGCCGATTTCATAATTTATTCTTTCACAGAAATAATTCAAGTGCACTGCAATGTTTTGCCCTGGTTTCCTAAAGTTGCAGACAAATCTGTTTTTTTGGTTTTGCTTTGCTTTTTTAATGTCATTTATAAACTACTACTTCTGGTTAATTCTATAAAGGCATAAGATTACCAGACAATGAGTTTGGTAGATTGTAGAGAGGTTAAGAAAGCTGTGTCTGATCTCTGGAACAAACACTGTGTGCACTTAACACTCACCCATGAAATGGTATCAGATGAGATGCCTCATATTAATGACTTTTGGCGGTACGGGGGTTTGAACTCAAGGCCTTGCGCTTGCCAGGCAGGTGCTATACCACTTGAGCTATGCCACCCAGCCCCATGTTAATGAGTTTTCCAAGAAAAAGGGAGATGGAAAATTATTAGAAAATTGGAAAGCAAGAATGGGGAAAAAATTGAGACATGGAAGAAAAGAAGCATTTATCCAAGGAACCCATTATCTGATTGCTCTGAAGACAAGGGGAAAAAATTTTCAAAGTAGAGATAATTAAGAAATTATTATTCTTTTTTTCAAGCAAAAGAAAGTGTGCATGTTTTGTTTTAAAAGTTCTGAAACAAGAAGATGTCTGTGCGGATGGAGTTACTATTAGACTCTCGGCTCTACGAGGGCTGGGATTGTCTCTTACTTTTGATTCCACAGTACCTCATGCTGTACCTGGCACATATCGGTGCACAATACATAGTTGATGAACCAATAAACTATGGGTTTTCCTAAACACTAAGTGGGCCACCTATATTTAGTGTAAAATATAGTAATTGTTTTCTATCATATATATATTTCTATTCGATAACTAGTCATTACAAGAGGTGACAGAAGAAACTCACTCATCTTTTGCATATGATTTCTACCTTGAATACAATTTAATGAGAAACAACTACATGTACTCTAATGCTAGAGAGAAGGTGTAGATGAAGAAACCTCTTGAATTACTGAAGAACTGTCTGTTACAGCATAATTGCCATCTTAAATTTTAAGAGGAAATGACATATTTTTCTAAGCAATGCAGTGTTTAGTGGGTGGCAAGTACCTAGAAATTTGGGGGATTTCCCTTTATCATCCAAAGAAAGAACAAATTTTTAATATTACATACACACACGCACACATATATATATATATTTAAAAGCTGTCCTATTATTCCATACCACTGTTTTTCCCCAAATTTATAGGGGAGTTTGAAATTATTTTCACCTTTCTTGGTAAGTTATTTTCAGGTAGGAGAATTCAGCTTAGAAGAGGCTTCCAGATTTAACCCATTGATAATCAATATAGATATTAATTAAGTAATTCATAGATTTGATCCAACATCATGTCTAGATTTCTTCAAAGGCCTTTACTATTGTTCTAATAATCTGTAAGTAGTTAATATTTGCCAACAGTCAGGAAAATGTAGCAAAGGGTGCCCCAACCTGGACACTTTAATGTGGGAATGTTAAAAGGCATAAGTAGACGCTTGATGCTTTGTCCAGAGCTTTTATTTTGCTGCTACTTCCCTTCACAGGACTGACATGCAGTATTGTGGCCCACTGTGCAAACTCAGCAGTTTGCAGGATCACCTAACCTGAATAACCAGGCAGGCTGAACCTGATTTCCTATGTGGAAAGCAGGAGCTCCTGGGTGCTTCTTGAACTAAATCCTGGACCTACCCTACCATGTGGGGTTACAACTTCTGTCATGCTATTTTCATACTTGTTTTCCCTTTTTAGATTCATTTTTTACAGTGGTAGATTGAGGCAACATGACTCTTAGCTTCACAGTTTCTTTTCCAATCACAGTTTAAATTTGTTCAAAATGTACCATTGATATCAGCACAGTGGTCTAGCTATACATATTTCAACTACAGAAATAACAGTTTCTGTGGCTTATCTCCTAACTTGGTGTACAAGCTTGATGGTTTTTCTCTTGCCAATAGCACTAAAAGTGACATCATTTTAATTGTATGGGTTTGATTGCTTTGTTTGTCTAAAAGTGTGATTTGCTCTAGTGCTACTAATAGCTGGGGTTTTTTTCTATAGGAGCAGTTTCGGTGTTTCTTTGAGGCCTCATGCATGCTTTGTAACGACAGGCTGACGAAAGCTGCCTCTGACTCAGCAGGCACCCTTCACATACTCTTGACATGGTTGCCTTTCATTTATTTCCTCCCACAAAAGAAGCTGATGCTTCTTATAGCATAGGCTCAGAAAACCTGTTTTTCTAACCACACTATATTGGCCTCAGGTTAACTAGGTAGCACAAAACAAATGGTGATAAAAAATATGAACAGTATACATTATATGTATTTAGAAACTTCACTTAGCTGCAAATCTGAAATGGTGTAAGCCACTGCCTGCAATAGCATCTATTCTATAGAAATGTCTATTAAGACACTGAAGAAATGGGATTATGTGGAGAGCCCATCTGAGTCAGAACCTTGTCCAACCACTGCAGTGGTCCATGAAGATGAATCTCAATCCAACAGGGGGTGCTCGTGACATCCTGGCGATGATACTCGGCTCCCCAACCCTGAAAAGAAAGAATGAAGCCCAGAGTGATTGTGTTTCTTTACCTTAGGCTCCAGAACCCAAGGCTCCCAGGCAGAGCAAAGTGGTCAGTCTGCACAGCACACACTCCCAGCAGCTCCTAATATCTGGAGGGAGAGAGCATGGACTCCACCTTCCTGTAAGTACAGGAGTCCTTCTGCACCAACCTGATACCTCAGAGGAATACAGATCCATGCCTTCAACCTGGATTCACAATTAGACACCAACCAGTAGATGGTCTGGGGCTCTAGCCCCATCACATGAGAAATGCTGGCAATCATTTCCCTTCTATATGGGAAGAAATTCAACCTTCTGTTTATCCACCCACTTTGTGCTGGAGACCACATGCCCCACAAAATGGCAGACTATGGATTGGAGTTGTAAAGAGAGAACTGGAGGCCACTTTTGATTTTCAGAGTTGATTGTAAGAACTTGTATCTTTTCTTTCTTGGCTTGCACAACAATTCCTCATTCATCACTATTTATAGGAGAGACACTAAATAAATAAATGATAAATTTGCATACTTACATCTTATATGTTATGCATCAGTAGGAAGTTATTTGAAAAATAAAGGGAGATCACAGCCAAGCAAATTAATTTTGTGACTGGGAGCACTGAGCTATTTAAAAATTGGATTTCAATACAACCATGCTGCCTGATTACACTTTCTATTAGTGACCATGGTCCTTAGGCAGACCTGCAACTCTCTACCTGGTAGTTGCACCACACTTCCCTGCTCTCAATTCCCCTTCTAGCTGACTGCTTCACTCCTGCTCCTCTCCCCCAAAGCTTCTACTGCCTACTCCCCCATCCACTTATAACTGATGGTCTATCTTATTTTCTTAAGAAAAATAATGTCACCAGACATGAGAATTTCCACATGCTTGCACCACTCACTTGGCCTTCTCCCTCTTGCCAAAGATAGATCTGTCTTATCAAATAAGCAGTTCCATCCATTTATGTACAATTAGATTCACTAATCCATTTATCTATTTATCATTTATCAGAGTTTTGGCTTCACTGATTGGCCTTTCTCAGTTTTCTTCTCTGGCTGCTTTTCTTCTCCCTCATCTTCTAATGTTGAAGTGTCCCAGGGCTCAGTCTCAGACCCTCTGTGCTCTCTGAATTCAAAGCCATGGTGATCCTATACAGACTCATGGAGTTAAATATTGTCCATATGTATGCAATTCCAAGTTTGTATTTCTCACCCTGACCTCTCTCCCCTAATAGACTCTGACATCTAACTACCCAATCCATATCTTCATTTGACTGTATGACAGACACCTCACAGCTGCTATCACTAAAACTGAGCTCTTGATTTTGTCTACAAGCCTGATCCACTTGCATCTTCTTCTTTCTTAGTTAAAGGCAACTAACTTCATCTTTCTAACTCTCTTTTCCTCATCAAATCTGCCTTCATGATTGGGAACCTTTCCTTTTCTCAAAGCTCTTCTGGAGCTCTCCTGATAGGACAGCTGAATATTACAATAGCCTCCTCACTGGTCTCCCTCTTCTCACCTTGTCTATATCATAACTGTTCTCCATATGGCAGCCAAAGGGACCCTCTAAAAATGTAGGTCAGGCCATGAAAGTCCTCTGCTGAAATTCCTGCAAAGTCTTGCCATCTCTTTGAAAGCCAAACTCTTGGAAGCTGCTCTGATTTCATCTCCCCACTAATAAGCCACAGTCACTCTGGCCTGCTTGTACCTCTAAAGTTCCAGGCATACTCATCAACTTTGCTGACAGTCATCTCTTCAGTTATGCCTACCCTACCTTGCAGCCCTCTTATGCTCCAGCACTCCAAATTCCCTTGCCTAACTCTACATTGTCTCATTCCATGCACCTCCCTCATCATGGCTGTAGTTTACTGCCTATCTCTCCTTACCAGCATATTGGTTCTACAATGGCAGAGATCTATGGGTCACTATTGATGGATGCCAGTGCCTACAGCAGTGTCCAGCCTGGCACATGTCAGGTACCCAAAAAATATTTGTTGACTGAATAAACAAGGGAATGCTAAGATCAGTAAAAATCAGAGCTGAAAGAGACCTTAAAGATGATCTGTCTCTTCACCTCCAGTAGCAGCCACCAGTGTGTAGTCACATATAATTTTTAAGCTCATCATCCATAGTTATTATTTACTTTTAAAGTCTCTGTAGTGCTGGGAATGTTTAGTAGAGTGCTTGCCTAGCTAGCATGGGCAAAACCCTGAGTTTGATCCCTAGTACCACAGAAAAAAAGTCTTGTAATACTTAAGAGTTTGTGCTGCCCCAGTCCCACCCCCCACACATCAAAAAATTAAGAATTTGTTTTCCATGAATTATGTAGCATTATAAACCTAAATGTTGCCTATCCAAGAGATACATGCAGTTGATCTTAGGAAAATCAGATTTCTATGCAAGCTTGTATAACAGTGAAGTAATTACCTATGTGATGTTGGCATTTCTTCCTCATTTTAAAAAGGCCTGGAAATAAAGGAGAATGCTGGAGGGGGTGAATTCAACTATGATATATTGTAAGAACTTTTCTAAATATTACAATGTACCCCCAGTACAACATTATGATAATAAAAAAATAACCAGAGTAAAATGGAAAAAAAAAGCAAAAATAAATAAATTAAATTAAAAAGCCTAGAGAAAACCATCTGCCAGATTCAAACGACTGTTCACTAATGGCAATGTAATGCCCTCTGCTGGCTCTAAAGTGACAGGGCACCTGAAAAGGTTTCCAGGGACTTGTTTACTGTTTTACAATGTAAAAATGTTAAAACAGTGACGTTGAATAAAACTATTGGTCATCATGAAAGAGAAGTAGTTCAAGAAGCCATTTTTAAATGAAAACTATATGTTTTTATTCTTATTTTTCAAATAATTACTAAAATTATAACTGTGACAAAAACATAAGCAGAGTACAGAAAAATGGGGCAATCATTTATCACAATAACCTGAAGTGTTAATAAGATTTAAGACTAGGGATGTATCTGAGTAGTCAGACACTTGCTGAGCACATGTGAAGCCCTGGTATCAACCTCCCCAGTACCACCAAAAAAAAAATTACTTAAAGCAAAACAAAAAACCCTGGAGCAAGCCATACTGCTTTTTTGGATGGGTATGTGACATTGTCCAATGTTTAATTTTTTTTAAAAAAAAGCTATGATTTTAAAATATTGCGATGATTTGCAAACACTTTGCAATAGATAAAATAGCAGATGATAAAATTAGGCCGTTAGCTTGAATGTGCAAACCCCATTGTTTTCCCTTCCCACTAAGTCATTTCATTGGTTCCTCAAACTTCATAGCAATCTTGGAAAGATTTGAAGAAATCCAACAAACACTCAGAATCTAACTGTATACCACTTTCTTAGAGTTAACCACACCCACCTCAATGGTTCTTCCACATCTGTCTAGACCAGCACCTAATTTATACTATATTAGAGCCAGTTCCCTTTTGTAGCTTATCTATGTATTTATCTCCTCAGTTTGTCTGAATGCTTTCTAAGAGTTAGGAGAAGGTCTTATTCAATTTAGGCAAGTTCACCAACATTTACTGTTACATCAGTGCTTGGCAATTTAAGGGGTGGGGAAATCTCCAGCATTTAAACTGATAAAATTATTATTGTGACTTTTTCCTCTGCATTAAAAACAATCAGATAGCTACTTTAACTTGTTTTTCCTCCAAAAGTAATATGCTTAAGAATGCTGATGTAATTGCTAAACAAGACAGCTTAGCCTCATCAAGGAACTCTTCCTAAAAACTGCTAATAGAATTTCAAAAAAGGATTGTCATCCTCCTGAACTGGCTGGACAAATGCCATATCGACTGAGAGTGCTTTTGCATTTTGTTTTTCATTTTCTGCCTTAACAATCTGAAAGCAAGCACTCCTTACCTTAACAATCTGAAAGCAAGCACTCCTTACCTTAACAAAACTCATCCGGATAGTGCACATCTTAGTTAACTCATACACAACTTCGAAGCCATGGTGAACCGACTGCGCAAGCAGCTGGGCAAAGAGCTGGTTGTTGAAGACCTTGAGGCTGCACCCACTGGGGATCTTGCAGACAGTAGCTGGGTGGAAGCCATGCTGATAGTTGCAGTTCCGGCTCTGCACAAAGATGCTGCTGTCACTCACGCATTCGGCATACACCTCTCCCCCAACGTAGTACAAGTGCACACCTGAGGACACAAAAACACAGCCTGCAAATACCGTTCCCTTCGGTCTTATCACCTCAAGCTGGGTGGGAGTCTAAATGTACCTGAAATCCATATCATCAATGACAGATGAGTAAGAGGTGTGACCCACGTGCCAACTTGTGTTCATTATATCCTTTGTGTTTTCCAAACGTCCATTTAAAAGTGTAAAATAAAATAAAAGTGTAACCCATGCAAGCAATTATTCCCCAGAACCAATTGGTAGGCCTTCATATCTCATTACTCCCATCACTCTCAATATATAGTGCAAAACACCCCAAATAATCCTTCATGTACCTATACAAACAAAAATTTAAATTGAATGACACAGTTAATAGCATGAAAATGTTACTTAAATATATACCCTAAACCCACTCCAGAGGAAGCAATAAGTGAAGTTTAAACATTTTTTATTAACAATTATAAATCTATTTCTCTAATAACAAATATTTTAAAGAGCCTGGTATTATGGTACATGCCTATAATCCCAGCACTCTGGGAGGTAGAGGCAGGAAGAGGCTAGTTCTAGGCCAGTCTGGGCTACATAGTGAGGTCCTGTCTCAAAAAAAAAATAATAATAAATCAAAGAGACCTATTTCATTTTAGAGGCTTATCACCCACTATTATAAATTAGATCATAAGTGATATTCCCACTACACTTTCAGATATACTCATATAAAAACTCATAAGAAAATGTAGCTTACATCGCTTTCTCTAACATTTTTGGGATTAACATTCAAAGGCAATCCTGGGAATGTTGCTGCTCATGTTAGTTTTCTTCCAAGTTATATTTTAGTTGATTTTTTCTCTCCCAATGTCTGGGTTGAAGATTCAGCTTAATTTTATGGCAAGAGGCCAGGATTAGATAAAATGAAGAAGTTCTAGTCTAGTGAATATTCAATACCAGGATACATTTTCTCCAATGTTTAACAGGGAAAAACATTCTCTAGCTCTAGATGTCTATCATTATAAACATCCCCCCACACACACAGAGTTAAAAGGTGTTTGTAGCAGCCATCCAGAATATACTTGTTATATTTTTGGTTTTCTCAAAATGAAAATACAAAACTTTTGAAGAATAGAACTTGTAGACTTCCAGTGCTTCTCAGACCCCAGTTTGGATAACCATGAATTTAGGAAACATTATTGCTACAGCTGCCAAGAGTTTGTCAGATTCTAAGTACACATTTGCATTTTCTATGTGACTATCTCCTGCCATACTTATCATTTCCTTGTCCTATCTTCTTTCCCTTAATAAAATTTTGCCTGTATCAAAATCATAGAAGAGCCTGGGCAGGTAGATAGTGGAAATGAATAAATTTCAGTATTATGTATTACAACCACACTACTCTGACGAAATGGATTCGGAGCCACACAGAGGGAGCAGAGCTCCAGGTTTTAGGGTTAAGGCTCCCTGTCACTGCCTGTTTCCGACTGGTTCCCCTCTTCTCTTTTCTCAGCCTTCCTTTCCCTTTTCTTCCACATCTTCATTATTTGTCTCCCTGAACATCCTTTGGCCTGGTAGCCACGAGGCAGGGATGGCCATAAGGAAGCCAAAGAATGGTCCTGATTGGCTGTTAATAGCAACATGGCGGGACCATTGCCAGGCCAGGCCAGCACTGCCTCCCCTCACTACTCCTGTGCACCCCTAGGGTGGGAGAGCCTGCCTTTTGCATGGTGGTGGTTTTTTAAAAGCAGGTGACAGAGTGGGGTTTAATAGGTATTTGAATTGAATGACCTTTAAATATATAATCCTCCCAAAACTTATTTCCTAGAAATGATAAGATTTTTGTTATCTGACCCTGGTCTTTATTTAGAGGTTGATTTTCAAGCATGTTAAAGACTTATCTGCAACCACAGCACAAGTTGGCAGAGTGACAAAACAGAGAAGAGCCTGGGCAGGTGGGTAAGTAGTATAACATCCAGAGAGAAGAGAGGGGCTGAGCCAACGGGATGAACATGTGCAGCCCACTCAACACCAGACCAGACCAGAGCCAGTATCCCAGCGAAGGAGCCAGCTCTGTCTAGAGGCAGCCAGCAGCATCTACAGAGGAGTAGAGTAGACATCTAATTGTATTTGCATCCATCTGATAGGCCAAAATAATGGCTTTGAGCCTGCCATGTGTGTTGGATTCAAGACTGCCAGTTCTTTAGCCTTCACAGATGCACAGTGAGGTGGGCAATTTGCATTTCTATCAAGTTCCCAAGTGAAGTTGATGCTGCCTTGCTTTGAGAAACACAGATTAGGAGCTCAGACTGCTACAGACCAGTCCCTGGAACTAGACAGGCTGGACTGTAAAGTACATGATACTTGGTATCTATTGCCACACAGGACTTTCATAGATTTTATTATCTCATTCCATTCATACTAACAGACAGTCTCATGCAGTTTTATATCCCCATCATGGTTTCACCCACTGAAATTCATTATTTGTGAACTCCTTATTTTATGGGACATTCCTTTAAAACAGTACCGGAAAATGAGTATGTACAGATTTTATTGCAACTTACATACTGCCATTTCTTAATGAAATGCTGAAAGGTGACATCATACCTATTCTCCTTGCAATAAAATATGCAATTGATATATTAATTATTATAATTTAGCAACTTTTTAGATAAAGCAGTATAAAACAAAGCTAGTCTTACAATCCTGTCAACTGTTCTAACTCCTAACAACAAGGATAAATGCCCCCAAAGAAAGTACCACCTGAGGGCTGGGGAAGTAGCTCAGTGATAGATCACTTTGCTATTATGCTCCAGGTTTGATTCTCAGCATTACCAAAAAAAAAAAAAAAAAGAAAAAGACCAAAACCCAAACAAAACCAATACACACACACATACAAAAAAAAAAAAAAAAAAACTGGCTGTGTGTGGTGATGCACACCTGCAATCCCAGTACTCCTCTGTGGCTGAAGCACCACAAAGAATAAAACTTTGTCATTCACAGGTAAATGGATGTAACTGGAGAATATCATTTTAAGTAAGGTTAGCCAAGCTCAGAAGGCCAAAAGCCCATGTTCTCCCTCAGATACAGATTGTAGACCTAAAACAAATGCAGCAGTATTATGGGACACAGGTCACACTAAGGGGAGGCCGTGCAAGGGAGCGATAGGGCAAGGAAAGGAAACCAAAAGCTTGAATGAGGTTGATGTGCTCACTGTACAGGAATGAATATAGAAATCTTAAACTGTCCAGAGCCACCATGGGAAGAGGACTAGGGAGGAGTAAAGAGGACTGGAAGAGGTGAATCAATTGGGGTTGTAATACATATATACACAGGGAGATACATTAGGAATCTCCACGTGTAGCTATCTTTATCTCAGACCTGCAAAATGCTGTTTCTCATTTTATCTTTTATGTTTTTCCTTCTACAAAATTGGAGAACAGGAGGGCAGAACAGGTTCTGCGCAGGAGAAGGTTGGCACCGGTGGGACGGGGAGGCAGAGGGGAAAAGGGTAGGAGGATGAATATGGTGGAAATAATGGATACACATGTATGTAAATGCAAAAATGATACTTGTTGATACTGTTCCAGGAATGGGAAGGGGGGGGTGAAGGAGAGCAGTGGAGGGGGTAAATTCAAGCATGATATATTTGATACATTTTAAGAACCTTTGTAAATGCTAAAATGTACCCCCACCTAGCACAATTCAAAAAGAAAAAAAAAAAGCTGGACAGGAGAATCCAGAATCTAAGCTTTGCATTTGTGTGTGACTACCACCCACTTTTTGTGAGGACTGGTGAGTTCTGAGTCCTGTGTGGTGGTTAGTTAAGAGCAGAGGCACCTTAGTTTGATTTAGGTCTGAGGGGTCATACTGCTTCTGTTTCCCTTTAATCCTCTTCTGTAGACTCAAATGACAGAGAAGCCAGAAGGAAAACTGAAAGGAGGGCAGCTGGGAGGTTGGTGAGAGCATCCAATGCCCTGGTATTTACTCAGAGTTGGGAAGTACTACCATGCAAAGCGGAGCTCACAATCAACCCTGATGCCTCTCCACTCTTCTTAGCAAATCTTCAACTCACTGAAACAATTCCATGCCCTCCCTCACTAGAGGTTGTACTTGACCTTCCCCTTGCCTCTGCTGTCTTCTCTTCTGAAAATTTTAAAACCAGGCTCATTATCAGGATTGTATGGAACTTTCAGAAAGCACAGACTTCTGAATATAATAATTACATTTAAAAAATTTTCCTTATAAAGTTAGATATCTACTCAAATACATGGGTAAAAGGATGCAAAGTCTGGGATTTACTTTAAAATACTCTAGCAAAAATATGGAGAACAGATGAAAAAGGATGTCACCAAATGTCAATTATTGAGATGGAACAGGAAGACATGTTGCACTACAACTCTCTTTACTTTTGTTTGCATTTGGAATTTCCCACAATGATGTAAGATCAAAAACTAACTTAAAAACATAAGTTTTCAAATCCACACCAGAGCTTAGGTCAGAGGTCAGAATTGGTCTTCCACAGACTTTGCCTACAGCAAAGTAGGCAAAGTTGTGCACTGCACAACTCCAGGGTTTGCCTCTTTGTCTTCCAAACTTTGTATAATTATTACGATGTTTTTCCAGCAGATGGCAGTGGTTTCTCTTGAGGAAGAATCATCTTTTTCTAAATTCACAGAAAGTCATCTCTGGACTGTAGCAAAGCTGGTCTTCCAAATCTGTACTCAAAAACTAAGTCCCTCTGAGCAGTGATGAACAAGCAGGTTTGGGCCCAGGAGCACAACACTGAATATCCCATCGCTGCCAATCACACAGCTGGCCACTCTCACTGGGCTAGGCTGGGGTATGTGATGTTTCTCTCTCACTACTGTTATAACAAACCCAGGGCACCCATACGTCCTGTGTCCTCCCCATCCTCACATGAGCAAAATTCCACCACAGAAAACAGAAAATACAGACATGGAAAATAAAAATCAGCCACAAATCCACAGTCCAGAAACAACCCCAGCTAACATCTGTGATATGTCTTTAAGTCTTT